GCAGTTAGTCTTGGGTTTCTCCTAGCTTCGCAGAGTTTTGTTTTTTCTAGATGCTGAGAAATGCACTTACGTGCATTACGAGACTATTATTGATGAATGAATACACACTGAATTAATAGATTTCCCTCATTTTAGCATGGACAATTAATAATTGCGATGATGATGATGATGATGATGATAATGTGATGATGATGATAAGGAGGAGAAGGTATTGTAGCAGGTGACGACAGGCTCCTGTGCAAGGTTAATTAACAGGCCCTTTGATATGAGTGTCAACCGAGGGTCGTATCCCGAGTTCGTCATCACATTTTCAATGCACACAATCGGACAACAGTAATTATCTATAAGTTATATAATCAGTACATTCTTGACTGTCATGAAAATATACATCTAAAAAATTACGTTATAGGCATGCTCGGAAGCGGAAATTTTAACCTAAAAGTTTTATATAGGCCCTATGTTTCATGTTGTTTGTTGAATGGTCTTTAGTGATATTATATTCTAATATGACCACAACATAAGGAAGAACACTTTGTCACCTACAAAGTTCAGACCCGTATACATTTATATTTCCTTAGGCCTAAATCATAAGGAAGTCCGCTCTATATCCAAATTTCAGGAAATTATACGTTTTATGCATGCACCGACATGGGAATTTTGTTTTATGTTGTTTGCTGAATAGTCTTCTTTAAAAATAAAACAGTCTAATATGACCACAACACAAGGAAGTTCATTCGTTAAATGTTTAGTAGATATTACAGAGAATTATGATTGTTTATCAAAATCATTATATAAAGGGTCGATGGCCGGCGGATTTTAGCACGAGAACGCGTAGGAGTTACTCCATGCTGAGCATGGATAGCTGTTCTATAGCTGGGTACTACATTCCGGCTAAAAAAAACTCTGTCTTTAGGTCTCCGCCTTTTGGCCTTTTTACATCCTGATTGATGCGTCGGGGATAATAGCGTTGTGTTCGTTGACAATCAATAGAAAATTCAAAATTAGTGAGTGGTAAAATAATCGAGCTCTCCTTTCGCCCTCTGTTGGATCCGTCACTGAACTCATGAGTACACTTCCTTTTTTCCCTCTTTCTTTCTTCCCTTTAACTCTTCTAAATTTTTTTTTTTACGGCATGACTGACAGGGGTGGGGGGAACGGGCCCCCGTGGCCCCCCGCTGGATCCGCGCCTGAACCTACCGTACCTAGGCATATAGGTTGGCAAATCAGACAAACTGTGCTTAGCCCAAATAGCCTTCAATTAAATAAAATTATACAAACTGTTTTTGGTTCAATGTCGTAATAATGTATATACGAAAGTGCGTTCTATTGTTGGAATATAATAATTTATTGCTTATGTCTTTGATTTTTTTTCTCAATATAATGGCCTAAAGAATGAGATAAAATTCAAGAGGAGAAAACCTTGAATTTTGAAGAACTTAAAGGTCATTAAAAACTCCTCAGAAGTCGGGAAAGCTTATTTCCAGCCATCTAGGAATCCAAATTTTCCGGGGGAAGTTCCCAGGACCACTTTTAATGTTGGGTTTTTTTTTTTTAGACATTTTAAACCACCCTCTTTCATATCCTGGATCCGCCCCTGGCTAGAGTGCATTTCCCTTGTATTTCGAAATTGTTTATAAGTACACAATGCTT